TGTAAGAGCCATGTCTTCATCAACAGAATCTGGAGATGAAGCTCTGTTTTCAGAGAATAATGATTCCAGGGACACAGACCCATATTCTAGATCAGAGCAGATTGAATCAGGTGATGAGGACCTTTCCATTGTAGCCGTAACATAACCTTCTGACAAAGCTACTTTAAACTCTGGGATGGGTGACTCAGGTGAATGCGGCCTGTCATCATCAACAGAATTTGGAGATGAAGCTCTGTTTTCAGAGAATAATGATTCCAGGGACACAGACCCGTATTCTAGATCAGAGCAGAGTGAATCAGGTGATGAGGACCTTTCCATTGTAGCTGTAACATAACCTTCTGACAAAGCTAGTTTAAACTCTGGGATAGGTGACTCAGATGTAAGAGCCATGTCTTCATCAACAGAATTTGGAGATGAAGCTCTGTTTTCAGAGAATAATGATTCCAGGGACACAGACCCGTATTCTAGATCAGAGCAGAGTGAATCAGGTGATGAGGACCTTTCCATTGTAGCTATAACATAACCTTCTGACAAAGCTAGTTTAAACTCTGGGATAGGTGACTCAGATGTAAGAGCCATGTCTTCATCAACAGAATTTGGAGATGAAGCTCTGTTTTCAGAGAATAATGATTCCAGGGACACAGACCCGTATTCTAGATCAGAGCAGAGTGAATCAGGTGATGAGGACCTTTCCATTGTAGCCGTAACATAACCTTCTGACAAAGCTAGTTTAAACTCTGGGATAGGTGACTCAGATGTAAGAGCCATGTCTTCATCAACAGAATTTGGAGATGAAGCTCTGTTTTCAGAGAATAATGATTCCAGGGACACAGACCCGTATTCTAGATCAGAGCAGAGTGAATCAGGTGATGAGGACCTTTCCATTGTAGCTGTAACATAACCTTCTGGCAAAGCTAGTTTAAACTCTGGGATGGGTGACTCAGATGTAAGAGCCATGTCTTCATCAACAGAATCTGGAGATGAAGCTCTGTTTTCAGAGAATAATGATTCCAGGGACACAGACCCGTATTCTAGATCAGAGCAGAGTGAATCAGGTGATGAGGACCTTTCCATTGTAGCCGTAACATAACCTTCTGACAAAGCTACTTTAAACTCTGGGATGGGTGACTCAGATGTAAGAGCCATGTCATCATCAACAGAATTTGGAGATGAAGCTCTGTTTTCAGAGAATAATGATTCCAGGGACACAGACCCGTATTCTAGATCAGAGCAGAGAGAATCAGGTGATGAGGACCTTTCCATTGTAGCCGTAACATAACCTTCTGACAAAGCTACTTTAAATTCTGGGATGGGTGATTCAGGTGAATGCGGCCTGTCACCATCAACAGAATCTGGAGATGAAGCTCTGTTTTCAGAGAAAAATTGTTTCAGAGACACAGACCCGTATTCTAGATCAGAGCAGAATGAATCAGGTGATGAGGACCTTTCCATTGTAGCTGTAACATAACCTTCTGGCAAAGCTACTTTAAACTCTGGGATGGGTGACTCAGGTGAATGCGGCCTGTCATCATCAACAGAATTTGGAGATGAAGCTCTGTTTCAGAGAATAATGATTCCAGGGACACAGACCCGTATTCTAGATCAGAGCAGAGTGAATCAGGTGATGAGGACCTTTCCATTGTAGCTGTAACATAACCTTCTGACAAAGCTAGTTTAAACTCTGGGATAGGTGACTCAGATGTAAGAGCCATGTCTTCATCAACAGAATTTGGAGATGAAGCTCTGTTTTCAGAGAATAATGATTCCAGGGACACAGACCCGTATTCTAGATCAGAGCAGAGTGAATCAGGTGATGAGGACCTTTCCATTGTAGCTATAACATAACCTTCTGACAAAGCTAGTTTAAACTCTGGGATAGGTGACTCAGATGTAAGAGCCATGTCTTCATCAACAGAATTTGGAGATGAAGCTCTGTTTTCAGAGAATAATGGTTCCAGGGACACAGACCCGTATTCTAGATCAGAGCAGAGTGAATCAGGTGATGAGGACCTTTCCATTGTAGCTGTAACATAACCTTCTGACAAAGCTACTTTAAACTCTGGGATGGGTGACTCAGGTGAATGCGGCCTGTCATCATCAACAGAATTTGGAGATGAAGCTCTGTTTTCAGAGAATAATGATTCCAGGGACACAGACCCGTATTCTAGATCAGAGCAGAGTGAATCAGGTGATGAGGACCTTTCCATTGTAGCCGTAACATAACCTTCTGACAAAGCTAGTTTAAACTCTGGGATAGGTGACTCAGATGTAAGAGCCATGTCTTCATCAACAGAATCTGGAGATGAAGCTCTGTTTTCAGAGAATAATGATTCCAGGGACACAGACCCGTATTCTAGATCAGAGCAGAGTGAATCAGGTGATGAGGACCTTTCCATTGTAGCCGTAACATAACCTTCTGACAAAGCTACTTTAAATTCTGGGATGGGTGACTCAGATGTAAGAGCCATGTCTTCATCAACAGAATCTGGAGATGAAGCTCTGTTTTCAGAGAAAAATGATTCCAGGGACACAGACCCGTATTCTAGATCAGAGCAGAGTGAATCAGGTGATGAGGACCTTTCCATTGTAGCCGTAACATAACCTTCTGACAAAGCTAGTTTAAACTCTGGGATAGGTGACTCAGATATAAGAGCCATGTCTTCATCAACAGAATCTGGAGATGAAGCTCTGTTTTCAGAGAATAATGATTCCAGGGACACAGACCCGTATTCTAGATCAGAGCAGAGTGAATCAGGTGATGAGGACCTTTCCATTGTAGCTGTAACATAACCTTCTGGCAAAGCTACTTTAAACTCTGGGATGGGTGATTCAGGTGAATGCGGCCTGTCACCATCAACAGAATCTGGAGATGAAGCTCTGTTTTCAGAGAATAATGATTCCAGGGACACAGACCCGTATTCTAGATCAGAGCAGAGTGAATCAGGTGATGAGGATCTTTCCATTGTAGCTGTAACATAACCTTCTGACAAAGCTAGTTTAAACTCTGGGATGGGTGACTCAGATGTAAGAGCCATGTCTTCATCAACAGAATCTGGAGATGAAGCTCTGTTTTCAGAGAATAATGATTCCAGGGACACAGACCCGTATTCTAGATCAGAGCAGAGTGAATCAGGTGATGAGGACCTTTCCATTGTAGCTGTAACATAACCTTCTGACAAAGCTAGTTTAAACTCTGGGATGGGTGACTCAGATGTAAGAGCCATGTCTTCATCAACAGAATCTGGAGATGAAGCTCTGTTTTCAGAGAATAATGATTCCAGAAACACAGACCCGTATTCTAGATCAGAGCAGATTGAATCAGGTGATGAGGACCTTTCCATTGTAGCTGTAACAGAACTAGCCTGAAAGATCCTCAGTGAGTGGGAGGAATCCGATCTAAACATGTTGCAAAAATCTGATGGTAAATCAGCAGCTTTATCTTCAACAGGGTCTTCTGAATCAGCTAGAGAAGATTGCGGCCTGGTTCTATAAGAGTGGCAGTTTGCCACCCCTACATACTGTGGGTCACAGATTTGAGACATGAGCTTGCAGTGGTCTGCATCAAAAGCTAAACCACAGACTGGTATAGAATGTTGTGTTAAAGATGAAGATTTGTCCTGACGTGGTGAAAATACCAAAAACTCGTTCTCTACATCAGCACTTTCATAAGCTGCTGTTTCAGGCATTTCAACATTTCCCTCTTCTACACTAACTGCTGTTTGAATCACCAACAGCTGCTCATTATCACTTACAGAGCCAAGAGAATCAGGAGATACTGTTCTTTTCTCAAAAAGCAATGGCATAGCCTCATACTCGGTATCTGACAGCATAGATTCTGATGATGATGATGATGATGAGTGGTAATGAATGGTAACAGGATGATTCACACATGATACATATTGTGGTATGGGAGAGTCTATGGACAAGTCTTCATTTAATGTCACAGACTCAGGGGAGTACGATCTAATATCTAACATTGCTGAGTCTGGAGACATTGGCCTGTATTCGGTTAGTGACTCTGGAGAAAGCGGTCTTTCCTCAGTACCAGAAAGTGAAATGATAACCCAGTTGCCAACATATTCAGATACTAACTCCATTGGTGTTGCTGGTTTGTTCTCATTTTCAGGTACATTCTGTCCGAGTGACAGCATGTTTTCAAAATTATCCTCATCATCAAGATGACCAGTCTGATTTGTATTTTGGGTTTCATTCATGCTACTCGTGAATTTCACATCAAGACTGCCTGTATAAGGAGTGTGGTGCACATCACTCTGAACCACAAACTCTGAAATGTCTTTATCAGCCTTTGTTTGCCTGTCACCTGCATGAACCTCATTGTTCCTGACTTCTTGCTTTGTGTAATCAGGGGAGTAAGCTGTAGGTAATAAAGACACATCCTCACTATCTGAATCCACAGTCTCAACATTGCCTCCATACAGGACCTTATAAAGTCGGCATGAAACTTCATCCATGTGTTTTGGGGCCATTTGTTTTGCTTGTGTGCTTTCTGTCATCAAATTGAGGGGATAAGAAGGGAGTACAGTAGTAGGTTGAGTGGGAAGCATTTTTTCACCAGCATGTTGTTGTGTAAGGCGTAGTTCTTCATCAGTTTCTGTAAGTTCCATCAACAGTTTCTGAAAGTCTTGCTCCACTTGCTCACACTCGATCAAACTGTCTCCAAAATCAGTCATTGACAACGGTCGACTTTTGCATACACCTGTCTGAGAACTGTCGGATGTCTCTGCCCAAGGCAATGGTGACAAATGATGAGCTTTGTCTCCAGAGTGGGGTCTTTGCAGACACTCTAAGCTCCAATCCTCTCCTCCCTCTGCCCCCTCATCTTCAGCAGCCCCTTCATGGTCACATCGTTCAAAAGTGGGGAAGGTGGACGTTGGGGTAACTTGGGCACATAACTTGGGTGCCCCTTTGTACATGGGGTGTAGCACATGGGATCGGAGATTATAGGGAGAGGTGCAGTACAATGTGAAGAAAGGACTTACTTGTTTAAAACTGCCAGTGTGTACCAAGTCTGTCATTTCCTCATATGTTCTTTGTGATAAGCTGCAAAGAAAAGAAAATGTAGAAATGCAGTGCTGAGACAAATGACCAAAATAACCCAGTATCGGCCTAATCGCTCATATTACTGTAAAAGAATATATTTCACAAGTTTAAGGAAATTAAACCGACAATATTTAATGCATAGTAGTAAAAACCGTATTAAGTTTGCAAATCTGTGTCAAAACGATCACTAAAAAGAAGTAATAAAGGAAGCATCTTAGCAAACTGCTTTTAACCTTAGCAATGTGTTCCTTGTTTCTCTCTGTTGATGTGCAGAACAGTTGCAGAACATGTGCACGGCTGTCAATAAACAACTAGATAATGTGGATGGGGTGACATTAAACGAAGCATTCAGAGTAACTCACTGTGTTGTTTCCATCTCTTTTTGTGGCTTGTCTTTGTGAACAGTTCTAAGAAGGCCTGCTGCTGTGGAGTCTGTCACCGGTCGTCCTGTTGTCTCGTGAAGTGATGACAAACTGGATGAAAGGTCTTCTGCTGAAACTATGGGAACCTGTTGTCCTGAGCGTGGACTCTTTTTTGCAGCCTCTGTACGCTTGCTGATCCTGGGGCTGTCCATGTCTTCATGAAGAGCAGCGAAACCTGATCGGGCACACAGGACAGGAAGGGAAATTTTAACCTCTCAACAGCCAACAGCTCACGGTCATATCACATTGAACAGAAGTTAAATGTATTTTAGCCAGTTTACTAGATTCTAGTAAACGTCTAGTAACTAGAAGACATCACCTAATCTCGTGCATGAATCTTACAGTTTTCCTGTTTTAGTATTGTATACTCAAAGTATTTGGTTAGCTTGTGCACCTTCACTATGGTCCTGTGCTATGGTCCACTCGATTTCTGCATACGTATGTGAGGTTTCTTCTTCAGACGTCCTGCTTTCAATAAGGTGAACAATATCCATTCGATTGATCTTTGTCAGTCTTTTGATAAGTGTTGCTTCTGTTGAAACAGAATAAAAGTTTCACTTCAAAGCTGACAACAAGATTTCTTTACTTATTAAGTAAAAAGCAATAATTCTGAGAAATGTGTACCAACTACAGGAACTAAACACTGGCCTGTGGCAAGATTTCCCTCCCTCTCTGTCCAGACTTTCAGAAGAGCATGGCTTTGGTCTTGAAGTGAGTTGGGGTTTCCAGTTCTTATCTCATTGATCCTCTCCTCACTGAAGTCAAGCTCCTGTGCTAACTCTGTTGGCGAGAAGATGATACAGTAACAATCGTGAATATTTGAAGATACATTTGAATGTCTGGTGTATCTTGAGGGCCTGCCAACTATGCATTGAGCTTGAGCGCTTCATCGCCGTGATGAGGTGTCACTCACCCGTCCAGCTGAAGCCAAGGTGGTCAGCTATAATGGCCAACCGTTGCTCTTTTCTCTCTGCTTCATCCTGTGGATCTACTGCAAATACCACCAGACAGCCATGAGCGGTCAGAACCGCAATGTGTTCCAAATGATATGTTCACAAATATTAAAAAATAAAACACCTTCACTGGCTTTCTTTTTGTGTTCTACTAACGATGTCTTTACATAGGATTAATTAAGGATCCAGACCTATACCCTAGAGCATGATGTGTCATTTCAATCAATTGTTGCCATTACACTTAATTGTTCTGGATATTATTAGTCACATTTTAATCTTTAAAGTTATTTTCACAATAAAGCCTTTAAGTCAATCTTGAGATTTTCAGCACACATACAAGGAAAGTGAGACATCATTACAAACAAAAACACAGCTCAAGCAACATGTTTTCCTTTTTACTTCAAGAAGACATAATCACAAGAGACAGAGAGGCAGCACCTTTAGCTATCGTACTAATGAGGCACAAGAGATAGAGAATAGCCCCTTAAACTGGGGGGATACCTTGACTTTGGACTTTATCGTCTGGGATTCGCTGCATCTGTGTCTCAACAGGTTCGTCCCACAGTGGTCTAATGGGAAAGATGTCTCCTGAGGGAGGGAAATGTTCTCTTTCTATGACTAAAGGATCAATGAGACTGCTCTCGTCATCTGAGATGGTGGCCGCAACCTCTTGCTCTCTGTCTGCCTCTGCCAACCTAGCCACCAGTTTTGCTGCTTCATCACTTATCTCTTCAAAGAACTCAACGGGCTCTTTATAGGGCTCCCTTTTTTCTTTAGTGGGTGTTGTTGAATGTGACGACTGACCACTTTTGCCTCGGACTGGCAATCTGGACTGAAAACCCTTAGATTTTGCCGCCTCAGCACTCAAAGGACGACCCTGTTCTTTTTTAGATGACCTGGGAGACTCCCCCTCACAGAAACTCTTGGCTTTGGAAGATGGAGTCTTGGTTTTGACATCCACAGAGGGACCTGCATCTGTCTCAGATTTTCTCCTTGTATCCTTTTCACAGGGACCTTAAGTTTTTTGTCTTGGTTATTTTCAGCACGTTTGACAGTAGAGTCAGGCTTCATCGTGCTAGCTTTAACTGGAATTCTAGATTTAGATTCAGAAGTAGAGATGGCCTCTTTTTTAGGAGTGCTGGAAGGGGAAACTGCATGAGATGGAGAATGAATTGTTGATTTACCGCGGCCTTGAGAAGAAGTAGGCTTAGCTGGTGCTTTGACTGGAGTCTTTTTAACACTACTGGAAGCGCTTTGTTTGGATTTTCCTGTTGTTTTGGGGGCTTCTATTACTGACTGTGGTTCCTCTGGAGAAGAGTCAGAGGACTCTTCCCCTGTTCAGAGTAAACTGATCTAGTGATAGTAGTATCTGCTGTCTGTACATTTGTTATCATTTGACCAAGGGAACTTGTGTCTAAATCTAAGGATCTTTCAGTTATCTCTGCTTTCATCTCTAGAAGTTCTGGGGATGTCCGATCTTTCTTTGTAGGTTTAGCTGAAGCTGAAATGCCCATTTTGGGGATTTTAGATTTGGAGGCATCAGCTTTGCAGCTTGGCTGTTCATCTTCAGGCGAGGACCGAAGCTGTGAATCAGCTGTTTCTTCGGATTGCTCACTGTTATCAGTCTTAACCTCTAGTGTTAAATTGAGACCAACTTCCGGTTCTGTAGCAGATCTTTGACTCTCTTGTCTGGGCTCTTCTAAGATGGGCTCCTCTAAAGGCTGTTCTCCTATCTGGAAAAAGGCAAAGCCAACAGCCTCTTCCTCGTAGCTTCTCTTTGTCATGTCAATAGCACCACTGCGGGTCATCTCAAAGAGCTTCCCTTCTTGGAAAAGAAAAGGATTGGGCTCACTGGTGGGAGTGCTCTCTTCTGTTGGTGTCCTACCAGGTGTGGTGTCTGGAGACTGACGGTCAACAACCAGATTCAGTATCTTCTGTTCCTCCTCTTTTACGCGAGCTTCAAAAGTGGCATCATCCTCCCGCATTGCAGACCAAGACTCGGTATCTACCCTTGCAGTGACACCTTTGGACTCGGTCCTGGGAGGTTCCAGTGTCTCGTCATCCTCCTCTGTGTCATCGTAGATACAGACCTCTGGTTTAAACGTTTCCTGTGTCTTACTTGTAATAACAGTTTCACAGAGTCCGGCCTGATCTCCTTTAACTTCATCTGTGACATTACTACATCTTTTCAGCACACCTGTCTGTGGCTCACTAATCTCTAACTCTTCACCATGCGTATCATCTCCTCTACTTTCCCTTGATTTCCTTAAGCTTTCTTCCTTTTGCTCATCAGTCCTATTTTTAGTATTTGATGTTGATGCCTTTGTGTTGCTATTGGCTTTATTGGCTTTTCCAGATAATGGGCAACTTTCTTCTTTTTTCATTTGGGATTTTGAATGATGCTGGTCTGAGACAGAGTGAGGTCCCTCTGAGGTGACACTGGTTGATGATGTGCTCTTGGCCTCTTTGCTGTGGCATCCATCATTCAAACCTGCTGAAAAAGGAGAGGGAGGTTGTACTTTAATAAGGGGATCAACAAAAAGAGCTAATTTTGAATCCTCTGTGGGTGTACTGAACCCACATTCACTTTGCGATAGCTTCTCACTTTCACAGCTGTCATCCCCTATTTTGGCATCTGCTGGAGAAAACAAATCTTTTCTAGACTTCGTTTTGCTCTTCACGTCTTGTTCCATTTCATTAAATGTTTTTATTTTGGCTGCCATCTTAAACATCTCTTCCTCAGGAGTGATCTTTCTCCTAGCTTCGTGGCTGTCTGATGCATTATCTTCTTCTGGGTCTTCAGGGATGACAGCCGGTTTTGATAGAGCAAAGAGGAATGAATGATCAGGGGGTTTGGGGTTTACCTCATAACTTACCTCTTCAGAACTAGGGGTGTCAGGGGAGAGGGGCTCTTACCAGAACTTGTCATCTGAGACGTCTGCTCACAACTGTCATCATCAGCACTAGCCTCATGGTCTCGAAGAAGCCTACTGGGCACAGTTTCCTTGGGGAATTCTGCATCTTTGGGAGGCTCTGGATGGCTATAGGATTTGCTAGGTGGACCTAGTGGGAAGAATGGGCAGCTTTTTAGCTCTACAGGACTGCTCTCTAAGGAGTCATGAGGAGGTGATTCCTTAGTTGGGCTGGGTTCAATAGAGTCTGGGGATTTGTGGGAGGAATTTTCTTCCATGAGAGGACTACCCTCTAACGAGTCTCTGTGGCTTATTGTTAAAGAGTCATCAGCTAACGGACTGAGAGCATCTGGGTCTTGTTTTAAAAGTAAGTCTAAGCTTTCGTGATGCTGAGACGGGGATCTAGGAGCTGACGACCCAACTAAAGACAATACTAGCTGATGATCGGGGCTTTCGTCATCGCTAAGAAAAGTTTCTATAGTCTCTGAAATTCTTTTTGTAAGCTTTTGTGGTTTTGACTCACTCCTCTTAACAGATATAGACTCACTTGTAGTGTGGTCATCTGTAGCCTTGCTGGAAGAGACAAGGAGGGTCAATTCTGTAGAGAGTTGGTCACCAGTGGTCCCTATACCAGAATCCCCACACTTCTCTGTGTCTTTACTCTCTTTCTTTACTGTTGTGGCAGCTGGTGCCAAAGTTGTAGAGGTTTGCTTTACAGTTTTGGGAGAAAGCCCTAGACTTTCAGGGCTTGTGCCCGGAGTGGCTAGACCCTCATGTTTGTAACTGTCCTCAGAGCTCAAATGAGAGGATCCATTTCCAGAACTTAGGGAGTCTGCCACACCCTCATGTTTAAAGCTGCCAGAGCTATCATCAAGGCCACCGTTTCCAAAGTCTACAGTGTCAGTTAGCTCTGAATCAGCAGAGGGTTTTGTGTCTTTGTCTTGCTGACTGATCAGTTTCTTTTGGGGTTTGGAATCCAATGACACTTCTCGCTCTTGAGGGACGTGTGAAGCTGCTGCTTTTGTCGTGGATTTTGTGTGGATAGTTTCAGATTTAGTGCTTTTTTCTGATTTGGATGAAGAGGATGTTTTGAGCTGAAATAGCCCCGACTTTCTCTTTGAGGGGTCTTGACCCGTTTGGAATGCTTGCATCAGCTCTTTAACTGACATGGTCTCTTCAAGTTTTTCAGAATCAGCTTTAGGGGATTTATGCGGGGCCTGCTTTGACTTAGTGGTTTCTTTGGCTTTTGGGGAGGATTTGCTCATAACAGGCAAATGCGTAGGTTTGCTTCCAGTGACCTTTTTGCTCTTTTGCTCTGCCTCCACTTTCTGTTGTAAGGCTTTGACTTTGTCCTTGATTGATCCGATGGGAGTTTCTTCAATCACTGGGGATACAGGGGATGCTGGGGCCTTGGCTGTGGGCACGCTTAGACGACTCCCTGTTTCTGTCGATTCCTCTGTCTTCCCCTGGTCTTTTCCCTTCCGTCTCACTGGCTTTTTAACATCACCAGTGGGGGTTTGTCATGTACTTTGGTTGGAGTGGTTGGTTTTGTACTTTTGCGTAGCACAACATCAGTGAATCTTTCCTGGAAACTTGTCTCTTTTTTGGCTTTAACTTTAGAGCTTATTGGTACATCCAGCAGGTATTCTTTAAGGTCACCACTGTCCTTGATGGCTTTAGGTCTGGGAGTCCCTCTGTTACCTCTACTTTCCCGTAAGACGAGCTCTTGATTTTCTAAAGCTGCCATCTTTTTGGCTTCTTCTATCTCACTGTCTGAGAGGAGAACCCATTCCTCAGCCATTCTAGCTGCTTTCGCTGCCTCCTCTGCCACCTCACCCTCATACGTTCCACCCCTCAGTATTTCACTGACTTTCTCTAGGTCCTCTTTGACTTTCTCTAAGTCTTTTTCCATTGTTTCTAACGCTTCTCCAGAAACTTCCTCGGTCCCTTTCTCTAGACCACACCCTCCTAAGGAAGGGGATTTCTCAGCGGAGTCTGCAGTCAAGATGACAGTCATTTTGATCAAATCTTGTTTCATCTCTGACACGTCGGATAGAAGATCTGGTTCTCGAATCAGCTCTGATTTCAGGACTGACGTCTCCGTCTCTTCATCTTCCATACGGAAGAAGAACAAGTAAGGAGTAAAGAAAATTAAAAATTTAAATGAAAGGAGACAGACATTGGAGAATGTGGTCAGGACAAGATTGGAGCACACCGCAGGGATCATAGGACAACAAACTCACAATGGTTTCTACTGTACACCAGGGAATCAAAGGAATTAGGCTTGTAGTTTCATATGTCTGTGCTGTGGTAAAGCAAATGCTAAACACATACCAATGGGAAAGGATATGAGCAGGAAATAACTTGCTTTTCCACTTGCATCCACACTCACAAGACAAAAATACAGATCAAAACTGGAACTGATAAAAAAACTAGCATGTGACAGAGAAACCTACAAAACAATGAAAACCAAAACAAAACATATGAAACAGAAACAACATCAAAACATCTCAAGATTGCTCAGATGTATGGGAAATGTCACTAACTCTATGAAAGAAAGCCAGTGATAATGTAAATGGCGTATGAGGATTTGCCATGTTTAGCTCTATTGCAAAACTAATATATTTTATTTCAATTCAAGCAGGAATGAAGGAATTCTATTTCACTCCATTCTGCTTTTGACTAAATCAGCATTTGGAAGACAACCGTAATGAAAACTCACAAAAAAAGAAACAGAAGCAAAAAACGGTGACATACAGAGCAAACAAGATGAACTCTCACTAAGAAGACGGTACGTATAATCACACAGACACACAGCACACACATTCATTTGTAAGTATGGCAAGTTATTTCCATGCAAAGTAAAGGGAAATGATGATGGAGAGGTCATAGAGAAGAGTGATGAGAAAGTTGGTACTTAGTTGCTTGTCTTCTTTCAGTAATGTGGTGAGTTCTGGGCCCGTTCATTTAGCAATTCCAGTTTTTAAAATGTCAGTGACACTGATACTGTGTGAAAGTTGAAAATACAGACGGTCCATAGAGTTTTACTCAATAACACGTCCTTTAGAAACGTAACGCTAACAAATATGGGTTGATTTGTTAAATGTATCTAATTAACATGTTTTGTGACTTTTTCCTGAATGTTCACATTACCACGAGACAAGCCATGGTGGAGGGGAGAGGGGAGGAGCCTGACTACACTAGTAGCCAACTTCAGGAACTTAGAGCATATGATACCAGCACAACATGGCACAAACTGCACCACAAAAACAATACTGGGAAGAAAAAGGAAGTTCAGAATTAGGAAGGTGGAGTCTGGATGTGCTTCACTCATGGCGAATCACATTTTGTCCTTTCTCCTTTTAAAGGTGATTTGTTCTGTTACTGTATAATGGCTACAGTCATTTAACTCACATCCCACAAGCAGCTGTGAATCATGTTACTGTTGAGAGTCTCTTTTTGATCTAACCAGTGCAGAACGAAGTGTGGAAATGCAGAGTAAAAGCCCAAATTATGCACAACACAACAGTAGCTGCACTTCTCCACCCACCTGGCCAATCAGGGCCAAGTGCAACCACATCAGCAACCACGATTATGACAGTGTTAGCGCTACGCTGGCTTTCAGGCTAGCACATAGATAGAAATATATGTATATATAGGCCGTCACATAAACATCACCACAGTATGAATGAAGATCATATTTATGTACATACGTAAGTTGCATTGTTTAACTCTTTCTTCGTATCTCCAATCTCGCATTGTAAAAGAATGAAATTGGATTAAATTGAAACAATGAGGTGTAAATCATTACGAAACAAGAAAAGTAGAGAGAAACATAACTTTGAAAAGATGGACTTCAGGGTGAATGTGTATGAGTCTGGTTATTCCTCTGCATTCTCAGTACTAATGTTAGACTTATTCACACCATTTACACCAATATTATTTTGATTAATAAATATATGCATTTTTATCAAAGAGCAGCAACCACGTTAGTACAAGTTGCAGAGCAAAGTATGTAAGTAAAAGTACGTCTTACATTTCTCGAGCAGTCTGTTGGTCTGAAAAAGATCACATGGAAATACAACAGTTAGGATGTTTTGACCGCTGCACGTGCTAATTATTTTAACTATCACTACACCTATTACTGAGGGAAAGAGCACAGATAAGCTAAGTCACTGCTGAATCACAGTCTAAACTACAGACAGAGGCAAAGACAGATTAGTGGAGCTAATGGGAAGACGAGGGAAATGAGAAGCGCTGGCTGCTTTTACCTCTTCCTCTTGTTCTTGGTCTGAATCAGACTCCTTTGGGGAACAAGAAGCAGCAAGAAGCAGAACGATGTACAAATAGAAACAAGAGCAGTATTAAGGTCAGACAAAGGGCAAACCAACGGTTACCATAGCAACAAAAACAAGAGGTCAGTGTGGATGTCAGTGAAAGTCAAAGTGGTCTTCAGAGACGGACTAGGTAAATATATTACACGTGTGCTACAGCTGTGCTCAGACGTTGGGCATGGATGTTATGGTCATGTTGGGCTTTTTCACTGGGGGAATAATTCTGCAACATAAATCTTTAATTACTTTATTTTGGATTCTTTCTAATCCACACAGGCTCACAGTTATAGATGCATATTTGGTACCTTTGACCAAAAGCATCTGCCATAATTCTGTCTCTCCTTGGCCAAATTGAGTTCATTTAGCGGCTGTCTGGGATCTGGGGTTTGAACCTCACCAGCTTCTGTCATTGTGGCCAAAAAACATGTGCAGCTGCAAATTTCAGTCAAGATTACAGGTGTCAGTTTTGGAGCAGGGGGTTCGTTCTTGGTGAGTCCACGGTGAGCCCTCCCGTCACTGTGGACAGGGACACTGGAACGCCTGAGCTTTGGTGCTAGATTGTCCCTGATCATTAGATTTCCTGTCATAGTGTCACACTTTGGGTCTTCTAGCAGATCTGGACAAAGTGGTGATAAATCGAAATAACTTGTGCTTACATACAGTTGTTTGAACTGATGATTATGGGAACTGTAGCTGTTAGAAATGGTGGCAGAGACCGCCAACGTGCTAATGCAAAACTCTCCCTGGACTTCCTCGTTGCTCTGAGGATCGGTCTGTCCAGTGAGAGCTGCCAGATAAACCCTTTTCATGCTGCAAAAAGAAACTACCAGTTGTGGAGAATTATAACTACCAGAGTTATTATTAGTCTTAGTTTGTCATTTAGCTTAGTGCGAGTTAGTTTGGAGGGCGGGTTTGTGCCTTTGTTTTGTTTGAAAATGTTTCTTTTTTGTTTATTTAGTTTCCGTGTTAGTCTTTATTACTTATTATTTTATTTATGAAAAACACTAGAGGTAAGATTTTATTCAGTTAGTTTTAATTTTGTTAAAGGGTGAGGGGATATTATAACTAAAATCTTTCTTCACATGTAGTATCTGTTTTAGGCTTAGAGCCTACATGACTCTGACTGCAGAGCCTTCAGCAGCACACTCATATATTTCAGTCTGTATGCACAGTTTAGTCTCTCTGTGGATTAAAGAAAAGCTAAAGTAACCTTCTTATTTAAAGCCATTAAACATGTATTTTGTGCCTTGGAACAAGAACATAAAATGACCGTGACATTCACGCCCATGATAAGTCCAGGCACACTGCTGACCACAGCTGTTTATGCAAAAACAAACATATTTCACAGGGCTTTAACATGACACCACACACTATCCACAGTGTTAAAGACAGTTACTATTAATCTTTGAGTGCTTAGAATTATATTTAGGACACCAACTATGAAAATAATTTGGATTTCATTTAAGTTGAGGGAGTTGATCAGTGGGACATTAGCACATAATATGCAATGTTCCCTCAAAGCTGCGCGTGTGCAGTTGTGCACTGCTGGCAGGTCTCTGCACACAGAAAACAATCGAACCTTAAGTTAAAATGAAAACTTTAACAATCCTGTTCTGCAGTGTTAGTCAGTGACCGGCTGCTCCCGTATGGGATCAGAACGAGGCCACCTTATCCCGTAGTCCAGCCAATCACGCGATTCACATTCGTATATAGAATAGAATAGAATAGAATTCAACTTTATTGTCATTGCACATGCACAGGTACAGGGCAACGAAATGCAGTTGCATCCATCCAGAGTGCTTAGTGATATAGATATTCAATATATTAGCAATAATATGTAGTATATACAGTACGCAGCTGTAATATACGCAGATATACGCAGCTAATCAACGTCGCTGACAGGCTATGACAGCGTCCTTATGTGCGACACCGGTGTTTTAGCAAAGCGGCTGATGTGGAGTGAAGCCACGTTAATGACAACGTGTACAACCATTGGAGATGTGAGCAGGACAGACGGAACAACTGACGGACAAAGTGTGGACTTTATACCAGTTTTTAAATTGTGTTGATCGGCCGCGTAAAACCAGAGTTATGATAAAATATCTGCAATGTTTGGTTTCCTTCCTGAATACTGTCGTTGTTTATATTTACTGCAGGAAGAAACGGTAAAGACGGCGTTTTATAAGGAAAACGCTCGAAAGCCTGTGAGCAAAAACAAACCCCCTCCCTCAGCCTTTCCTATTGGTCGAAAAATGTACCATGTCGACCAATCAAAAAATGATATGGCAACATGACATTTAGTGGTTTAGGGAGGGGGAAGTTTTAGGAGTGACGGCGTGTTTGAGATGTGATTGCCAAGTTTAGCACAAATCTTGTGTAGTTAGTGTGTAGTTAGTGTGTAGTTAGTGTGTAGTTAGTGTGTAGTTAGAGTGTAGTTAGTGTGTAGTTAGTGTGTAGTTAGAGTGTAGTTAGTGTGTAGTGTGTAGTTAGTGTGTAGTTAGTGTGTAGTTAGTGTGTAGTTGGTGTGTAGTAGTGTGTAGTTAGTGTAGTTAGTGTAGTAGGTGTAGTTAGTGTGTAGTTAGAGTGTAGTTAGTGTGTAGTTAGTGTGTAGTTAGTGTGTAGTTAGAGTGTAGTTAGTGTGTAGTTAGAGTGTAGTGTAGTCATAGTTTTGTTGTGTGTCAGAACAATGAGGCGCCTGCTGAGTGTTACAGGTGTTACAGCAGTGATACATCTGCTGCTGTCAGGCCTGCAGGTATCAGGCTGTTGTTCTCCTTCATCTCATAGTGGACAGGAATTATTTTTTGCAGCGGCACAAATAATTTGTGTGGCATCAGATTTGATGCAGAACAGCTGATTGTTCTGTAAATAGTTTGAAATGTTTATTTAAAAAAAACGCCTTGGCTGCATTTTTAGATAAACAGCTGCAAAACACTTTGTTTGCAAAACTCAGTTACTTTTTTGAAGAAGTCACTATATAATTAACTGCCCAACATTGGTCATTATTTACTGTATGTTGCAGACAGAGTTACAGACTCTCTCCCAGACCACAGACTCATAATACAGTCAGAGCAAAAAAATAAATAAATAAAAATAAAAAAGAAAATGTTTTTAAAATTGGAGTTCAAGTTATTTTTACTTCCATTAGTGTTGACATGCTACAGGTCACGAAATAGATTTGTTTAAATTTTCATTGTAAGTGGACTAAAGCAGTTAATTAAAAGTAGTCGAACATAAATGCTGTAATTTGATTACTTTAATAAACATGTAACTTGGATGCTGGCGTGACCACAGTGCACACGTCTGCCGTTGCTCACAGTGCGACGCTCAGGGAGTTTGTGTGTTCAGACACGTGAAACATTAGAGGGAACATTGATAATATGTCTTATTGCAACACGGTCTAGAGTTAAAGCAACCAGAGGACTTTCCATGTTAAACTACTGAAACCAGCACGCAGCTTTTACTCATAAAGACACACGACCACCAGCAGCATCGGCGCGCCATCCTTACCTTGCAGTATGATGGAAGTGTGATGTTGAGATTGCATATAGCATTTTGTGCAAGTGACCTGTAGTTCCTGGGTTCTTTCATAAATGACAAGCGGCCACACGGCTCCTGAGTGTTGTCTCTGATCTGCCAAAGCCAAGCGGGTCAACGTTAGCCAGCTGCTCATTGCTAAACCGATTCCATGTTATACGAAGAACATTGGCTGACACTTGCAGCACTTGCTCAGAAGAAATAAACGATGACTCACTTTGATGAAGAGTGCTAACCGGTTCTCCTTGAAGGCGTAAAAGCTGAAGAGGTGATGTTGGCCGCTTTTCGTGAGGGGAACAAGGTTACCAAAGCAGTCTGCATAGATAGGTTTGCCTTCCAGGACCTAGTAAAGGTAACACATGCATACATGATGGAATAATCACGCCTGACATCTTACATGTTTACACCCTTCTTTAGATATTTCTTCTTCTTAGACTGGAGTCGACCGCTCAAAGGTTTTTTATTTTATTGGGGTTTCATTTCCGAACTCTGTCTTGTATAACTTGGTGTTAGACTCCCTCCGCTCTCCTTTCTCACCTCTACATCTCGGCTGCGCGCCACCTCGGCGAAGTTCTCCTGCTGTTCCAGTGTTTTATCAATCTTGTCATCAGTCATGCAAAAGCAGCGCAATCGGGCCTCAATCGGGTCGTGGGTCTTGGCGAAGATGACGAACTTGGCCATGTAAGGGACACAGATGATTTCCCGATACACCTGAGTGGAGAAGTTGACCGATTCCTGGACTTGCCGACAGTCTATGAGCCAGAACCTAGAAATCAGAAGAGGGTTAGGAGCGAGCTGGTGTCTGTGGCTGATATTTGGTTCAGCTGGTTTACCTGGCAGACACGTTGGTGGTAAAGGACACGCAGTCATTAATAAAAGTTAACGGAGTAGTTCCTGTTATATCCTCCCACTGGGCTGGCGTTGTTCCACCTGCGTGACATGAAATGTTAGAATGTGGAGACGCGTCTCAGCTTCACCCGTTAAGATTTGAACTTTTCTACGGCTTCTCTAACCCGTGATGCTACAAAGCAATCGTAGGGTGGGTGTGTCCCCTCCAAAGCCGTTGAGGACGGGGTCGGAGTTGCTCTTGGGGACAGGGATTGTCATGGTGATGGGTTTATGAAATTTCCTCCTGCGCGGCTCCAGAGTGACAATGGGACTGAAGCTGGCCTTGTTCCCCAGGAGCTTCCTCACGACATCTATGCTCACTGGCTGGGCCTGCGAGACAAGAGGAAAGCCTGGCTGTGAGGCAACTGTACGCAGACAGCACATGTGCTTTATCCACCTCTTTCTAGTCCATTTAGTAAAGACATCGACATGAATCACAGCAACTTAAGAAGGTTGAGTCTGTTTTGTTTCCATGATTTAAAACTAAAGCTTTGAATATTAAGAACAACACAATGACAGCAAAACAGAGAACATATAAAAGCTAACCACACTCTGTTTACCTGCAGTCCAACCCTGATCCTCTTGGTCAGCGCCCCCTCAGGAAAAACTGCCTGAACTTGTGGTACAACGGTGCTGCTGAGGATGCCTCCTTCAGGACCAATCAGATTGCTGTCTTGCTTGATGCGTGACACCACAGCAAAGTATTGTGGGAAATCTCTAGTGATGATACGGCAAATGCGTTTCCTCTCCAGCTCTTCGGGAGTTTCCAGTTCTGCAGAAGGTGAGACAGAAAAGACGTGATCAGGCCTTTATCGTTTGACGCCGCGGTGTCGTCAGCCAGTGTCGGAGACTGACCCTCGTCCATGCCGTTGAGTATCTGGTTGAGCTCCTCTTGAGTGTGTTCACAGTGATGCTCCTTCCAGCTCTCTCCTGTTTCGCTCCTCAGAATCACCAGCTCGCGCTCCTTCCCTCGGAGGGCAGCGAAGTGAGGGATCTCCACAATGACAGGACTGGAGGAACAAGATACGCTGGGTAAGTCCAAGTAAAACTAAGCGCGTGGTGTGATGGAATATAACAGGTTAGTGAGGTAAGTCTCCTGTTCTTTGACTGTTCATCTTTGTATCTGGATACGAGCCCGACTGTACCTGTGCTTCAGACACAGTATCGCTCCTCTTGCTCTGGCTTCACTGCTATGTAATTACAGTTTATTTTTCTGCAGCTGATGTGTTGACACGTGGTGATAAAGAGCATCTCAGATAAACATGTAGAGCTGTGCTGGATAAAAGCATCTGCACCAGCAAATCTCAGGTGGATTCACTTGAATCACAACATTCAAGTTGATTTATGATCAGTGTGTCGTCCATTTGTAATAGTTAGAAAACGTCACTCTGACACTTACCTGATGAGCACAATCACAAACTAGTTACAACGAGTATCTACAAGAAGCGTCCTGCAGGCCAACATCGGGACAGACACACATATTTCTATGTGATATTTATATGGTTACCTGGCCTGTAGTATTTGTTTATGTTTCACTCTAAATACTGTTGATGTTATTTTATGACTTTGACCACTCAGGCAGGAGAAACACATCAATTTAAAATATAGTGAAAAGGCCAAATATTGCCTGGTGACACCATGTGATTTCTTATAAACTCGAAATAAAAACCATACAGAGCCGATCGCTGAAGCGTGCACTCATATTCTCCTGCTTCCCTTCGACTTACAGGCCACACAACCATTTAAATTTCACACATAAGTGAGAGACAAATCTTCCCCCGAGAATGAGAAGAAAGAAAAGGGAAACGGCAAAGCAGGAAGGAGAGAAGTGACAAGCAGTGGCTGGAAGCACGGACACTAAATGAAGTGGATTATGCAGCATTAGCACAAACACGACAGCACAGTAACAAAGAAACTGGCATCCATGGATTGTTTCATATGCAAAACCACAGACTGGTTTCCACCCTACCCAAGAAATCTGGTCCCCGGTGGACCAAGCTGGAGGATTCGGGTAACCAAACTCTCTCCCTCATTTAGAGGTGGGGGGGCACTGGGGAGGTGGAGTTTACTGTGATTGACCGAGCGTCCGTATGCAGCAGTGAGGAAGAAAGAGCACACACAATGTTTGGGTTGAGCGCCGATTTTCTCTTAGCTGCACAGTTAGGACGTCCAATAGAGCATCACGAAGAAATGACAAATAAAAACATACAACATTTACCCCAAAGCTGCGCTTATATTTATACTCAAGTCCTTCTTTTCATAATAAAGAAGACTGACTTTGTAGTTCTTTGCATTTCCATAACACACACTGTGTTGGTCACTGAAGAAGTCCTCTGATAAAGCCAGTTTGAATCTGTTAGACTATTATTCTGCATTTTTATTCAAATTAAATCTGTTTATTTGAAATGAGCTCATCATTGTGGCCGTGTGGGGCTAGTTTCACTGCAGAGCTGCAGAAACATTTCACATCACAGCAAAAACTTCTGTCGTCTGCAGCAAATCTGTAACTGTGACCATCTCAAACGTTACCAGCAGAGGGCAGAGTTTCAGTCCACATATCAAACCAATCATGGTGCGAGACACTGCAGCTGGAGTTAATAAGAAAAGCTGTTTCATCAAGTGTTAGGGAGAAAGGTTAGAAAGAGTCGCGCTGCAGCTGTTATGAAAGTAAACAGGCCATGCTGGCAGACCGCTGGCACTGGGAGGAAGCGAGAGCAAATACAGAGACAGTCTGAGTCAGGCAGAGGCTGGCAAATTAATCTGAAAGAAAAGGGCAGCACTTTGTAACCTTTGCATTTATACGGGATACAAATTAATAACAGGATAGATGTTCAAAGGAAAGAAGCACTTTTCGTCCTGCCTGGAAACTTATTGCCATAAAACATTCAAAGCTACTAGCAAATAATATTATATCATGTGTATGTGTAAGGCGCCTTGAGGCATTTGTTGGCATTGTGCCATAAATAGACTTTAAGTGTTAACCTCCACACATCCAGAAGCTTCTACAATCACTATTCCTGTCTTACCCAAGGAACTGGGCTCCAGAGGGTCCCACCTCAATGAGCCTGCTGGCCAGACCCTCCCCCTCAACCATCGGGGGCATGGTGGCCAGACGGTGCCTCTTCACCAGTCGGCACGTCACTCTCGTCGGGGCGCTGCACTTCCTCGGCGGGATGATGATGCGGAGGCCGTTGTGTCGACAGCCGCGCATGGCTCCGCCCCTGGCGTCTACCATGAAGCTGACCAGGAAGCTGAGAGGAAGCAGGAGATACATGCACGAATGAGACGCCAATATTGTCCGGTTCAGTCTAATTCAGCTCCATTAAGTGGTGAGAAAGCAGACGGCAAAGCTTTGTTTGGTTTGAACAGTTTGTAAGATGCACACTTACACGAAGGACCACCGCTGTTTACTTGCTCGAGTTTTTGAACACAAGCAACAGTTAAGTCGTTAACTACGTATCTCAAAATCAAGAAGGCCCCGTTAAGACTCAAGAAAGCACGAGATATGAGGACTAAGGAAGATCCTGTCGGCGTGTTGGCCTGGGACACTTTTGTTCATCAAACTTTCCTTCTCTAAAGAAGCAAACACACTTTCTTCATGAACTATATGTATTTATGGTTTTTTCTAAGTGAGCTTATCTATCTTAGACCGTGAAGCAACAACAGCACAACTATAGCATAGTCTTAACTTTAGTGAACTGATTCAGCGAGGTCAGTAATAGTAAACTTAAGCTAGCTCACATCACGTAGCATTAGCCAATCTATGCTCGTGGAAACAGCAGACCAGAACAATGCATTTTCTTTATTATGTTTAATCTTCAAATAGAGATGTTACAAAAAAAGGATAGCTGCACTTTAACATAGACTACTCATTACCATGGACAACTCTATGATTGTAGCATGGTAGCTAACGTTCGCTCAACCTTTGGTTTCTGTTTTCTCAACACTGAATGGACGAGAGCTGCTCTGCATTCAGGTTTGACCTTCGCTCTCCATGCACAGTCACAAGTATGCGTATGGATCACACATCCCAGCGGGGTAAAGACCGACTGTGATGAAATGACGATATGACACTAAAGACGGTTCTTGGCTCAGCTTCAGCCAAACAAACAACCAGGTTAGAAAACCCAACGACAGACTTGAAACAGCTGTTAAATTAATGTTAGAAGACGAGATTAGAGTAAACTGTAAGTTTATTCTAATAGTCTCCACACCACGTGGCATGTTAGTAGAAATGCACAGTTCACGAGACACTGAATGAAGTCGACAAACATGTCCTCAACCTTCAACCTTATCTAAACTTTCCTGAACTTGCAGTGTCATGATGCCAACTTTGGAAAATCATTCAGAGAGTTTATGTTTAATTTACGTTCAGGCTGAGAATACAGGAATATACACGAGATGTTGTCTGTCGAGGACGGTGCAACACATACACCTCTCCATAGGGAGAGCACACTGAGCGGAGAAGGACGGTGATGAAGGGGAATGAGGTGCAACCAAGGTGCAGAAGGTCACCTGCTGTGGTCTCCATGATCATGGCACGGAGAGGAGTGGCTAAAACAACAACCACAACAGACAGAGAGGAATCACAAGTCAGGCAGAAGAAATCAGAGAGGGAGAAATCCCAGCAAGTGTAAAAAACGAGCAGAAGGAAAAGAACAGGGCTCAGCAGGATTTCCATCTACGAAGATCCACAGAAAACAGTTTATTCACAGAACTCTGACAGTGTAAATGCTGTTTACGACTTTCCTTCAGTGCTGCTGTGCTTACCCTGAATGGACAGGGCTGGAGGACAAAGCCACGTTGTCCAGGTTCTCTGTGCCCCAGCTCAACCGGTACGAATCCCTCTCAGTCTCCCTGGCAAGGGATGAAACCTGGAACGAAACAAACCTCTTATCAGAGACCAGTCATCTAGGGCATTGAGAAGATCATGGGATATACTTGCTCCTGAATTTGACAGAAACATAATCCCCATAAAAACAGCAGGACCGTGGGTGGAGGAGTGGGTCGGGTGGGGTTGCAGCCCTTCTAAGGCTGAATCCTGAGAGCTCAGATGTGTTAAGTCTGACAAACAGAAATCAGGCTCGCTCAGCCCTTCTTTCATTGATCCATCCTCGTCTTTATCGTACTCACATACAAACAGTTTAGATTCACCAGTGAAGCCAACCCCACTAACTGCATGTCTTTGGAGTGTGGGAGGAAGCCAGAGTACCCAAGAGAACCCAGGAAGACACAAGAGGAGCATGCAAACTCCACACAGAAAGGGTCAGATGGTTGCTGCAAGGCAACACCGCCTCCAGGCTGGATAAATGGTGCTTACACAGAACTCCTCTGCTCTAACTCTAATTCCTCCAGGTGCTAACATCCTCACACAACATCTTACTCACAGATTGATGTGCAGACTGAAGTAGCTGAGAATCAAAGCACTTCAGAGTGGTTAACAGTACAGTCCACAGCCACAGCCTGAGCGTCATAATTCCTAACCTTTAGGTTAACATCGTCCCACGGCAGCGTTTTAAGAATGCACAGAATAATTTACTACACTTTTACACGTATACCACCTACTAACCACATCAAGGACGCTTGGGTTAAGGACTTGGAAGTGGACATATCGGATGCTTTGTGGGCCAATGGGTTGAAAAAGATTAAAGAACACTCTGTTAATGCCAGACTACAACTTATACAGTTCAAGGTCCTTCATCGTCTGCATTTTTCTAAAACAAATCTATGCAGCAGTTTTCCGTCTATTTGGTCTTTGTGTGACAGATGCAAAGCAATGGAGGGAACCCTTGGTCACCTTTTCTGGTCTTGCCCCACATCGGGAGTTTCTGGCAGAGATATTTAATATATGAAGCGCTTGAGCGATTTTGTTGTGATTGCGCATATAAATAAATTGATTGATTGAATTGATATATTTATGATTTAAATTAGAGCCGGATGGTGTACTTGCAGTGCTAGGCTCCCTAACCTCATTGGCACTCAGACGTCCTCTTCAGAAAGCCTTAATGTTTGGCATGATTGTAGCTAGAAGACTTGTTCTTAGAGCCTAGAAATCACCATCTCCTCCATTGTTCAGGGTTTGGCTACGTGAGATGATTGAAGAGGTTTGCTATCGTTTGGCTGACACCCATTTTAAGTTTGTCGAAATCTGGGGCCCTTTTCTCGATCATATTAATGGGAATTTAACATAAACTTTAACCCATTTGACTGCACTTTGTGTTTGTGTGAAACCCTGATTCCTTCCTGGACATGTTTCCCACATCTTCTGGACTTGGTGAACTCTCTGTTGCCCTGTCTAACCTCACACAGAAGATCATCTTCTTTGGACACTGGTGTTTCTTTTGAACTTTTGATTTGTACTGGCTAACTGGTGTATTTTTTATTTTATTTTTTCCTTTTCTTTCCTGTTTGTGTTTTTGTTGTTGTGTGTTTGGTTTGACGTTATGTAACTTTGAACTTAAAATCTTATCAATAAACATTAAAAAATGCACAGAATTAGTGATCTGTGTGATGATGCGGCGTACCTGGTGACTGGTGAGCATCTCCTCCATCATGCCTTCATGTTTAGAAGAGTAGTAGCTGTGGTGAGTGGGCGTGAAGGACCTGTCTGAACTGAAGCACACAGGAAAAACACAAGCATGAAACCTGTGAAGCCCATGATATCAACCCAGCACGGCAGGAAATTCATAATCTTTAAAGTTCTGTTCTGGTCGGGATCAATGTCCAGCAATTACGTGGTGAACAGCATGTTCAAAAGCTAAACTGTACCTAAAGTGTTGGTTTAACAGCAGCGCTGCTGGACACACGAACGCAGCAGCCAAAGCATCTGATCTGTTTATTACATACGGCTGGAAGGCCGAGCCAAGCTCAGGGAGCACGAACACCATGTGTGCATGTCAACACGTTCCTAACTTTCCACCGCTCCAAGATTCCTGTGGTCGTTAGGGACATGAGATTGTGGTTTACCAGTGTAGTCACCGGTGCTCTCCCAGCTTTATAAAGCACCAACGGAATACAAAGCTCTTCATGTGCTTAAAGCAACCTGGGTTTGAGCTGTGGGTCCAAAGCTGCAGCAGAGTTACTCTCTATTATCAGTTCTGCTTTTGATAGAGTAGATCCCAGCCTTCATCTCTAGACTGGAACAACACGTTGGAATAAAAGGATTGTTGTGGAATGGTTTAAATCCTTCTTATCTAATCGAACCTTCTCTGTTAATCTCAGAGACTCATTATCACCAAAGACCGTGCTTTCCTGTGGGGTCCCCCAGGGCTCTGTCCTTTTTTCAATCGACATGCTTCCAATGGGCTCAGTTTTAAATAAATATGGCCTCTCGTTCCATTGCTACACAGATGACTCTCAGATTTACGTTCCCCTGAGATGAAAATCTGTGAATCCCCTGAAGGGTCTGTTTGATTGTCTGGAAGACGTTAAGGCATGGATGGCGCTACATTTTCTCAACCTAAATGAGCAGAAAACTGAGGTCATTGTTTTCGGTGCTTGTGACCCTCTTCACCTCGGCCCTCTCGAGATCTATAAAAAATCCTCTGCAAGAAATTTAGGACAAACATATAAATAACATAATCAAGGCTGGCTTCTTTCATCTCCGCCTCCTTGCAAAAGCCTTTCCTCTGTTTCAGAGATTTTGAGAAGTGATCCCTGCCTTCATCTCGTCTCGACTTCGTAATAGCCTCTACTCTGGTATACTCTACATCATGGCCACTGCAGCTAGTCCAAAACGCTGCAGCACGGCTCCTAACTGGGATCACACATCTGCCATACTTGCATCAGTACACTGCGTGCCAGTCAGCTTTTGAATTCATTTTAACACTTGTTTTTAAGACGTTACATATATATCTCCCTGATTCCTAACCCGATATTCTCCCCAAGATCCCAAGTCCCAAGGTCGAGGTTAAAACACAGAGACCGGGCATTTGCCGTGACCGCTCCTAAGTTATGGAGCTCATTGCTCCTGCATGTCAGGACCTCTCCAACACTGGGACTGTCAAACCCGTCCAAACACCACTTTTACTCTCTGGCTTTTAAGTCAAGAGAGTCTGTTTCTATTGTTCTTTCCATGATTTATTTTCTCTTATCTCTATTCTGTTTTTCTGGTATGACTGTGTTATGTGCAGTACTTTGGTCAACAACTGTTGTTTTTGAAAGTGCTATATAAATGAATAACTTGAAGACTTAGAAGTCCAGATACGTGGATGGAGTCAGCACATACCTTTGCATTCGATTATGTAGATATGAAAGGCAGACCGTGAAGTGTGAAGAGGAGAGGTTGCAAACAGACACAAAACATACAGGCTGTTAGCTGTTTGTGCATACACTGAATGGGGCGAGCCAATGTGAGTAAGAGGGTGGGAAGGGAAGAAATGCACAAGTAGGTTACATAAAATGTCATAAAAGGGAAAAGAGTGTGTTATTGAAACAGCTGTGTGAGCTGCAGCTTGTAAAGCGGTATAGAGAACATATGCAACAACTGTGCATGAATCATTTCATCCAGGAATATGTTTCACAGCGAGTTTGTCTCTGTCTTTAGCTTTTACAGAGTTTGATGCACCTGTCGGTTCGTCCTCCCTCCAGGCTGAGCGCAGGTAGTTCATCCATCCAGGTACTGTCCTGGCAGGGAGTCATCTCCCAGCTCCCGCAGATCCTCAGGCCTCAGATACTCCCTCCGTCGCCTGTCATCGTGTCGTCACCTTGAGAAGCAGAAATGAAACTATCATGAAAACCACAACTATAACCAACCACTGATGAGAAACGCAGTGACGCACCTTGATGTTGGGATATTGTTAGAAATATTTTGGACACAAGTCAACAAATCTGTAATTGTGCTTGTTTTGGTTTTGATGTTCACAGGTGGAAACATCACAGCCAGTTACTCTACAACAGGACATTTGAACATCTGGCTGAAAGTGGAAAACAGACATTGATGTGGCTCATGAACAAGAAACACAGGGCTGCTGTACAGGAAATCTCAACGCGTCGTCACTTTTGTGTCTCTAGTTAAGAAAACCTTTCACAGTTTAGTGGCTGCCTGACGTGCACTTCAAGCTTCTCGCTACAGCATCTCTATATTCTACTGTATTCTCATGCTTCGATTGAGGACTGTGCAAAGCAACTGTAAGGCTTATGCTAACTGCATAACAGTGATTTAGCACTATTACTGTTCCACTACTGCACAGCAGGGCTCAGCATCGCTGTTGGCTGCAGGACGCAGATGTTCAGCATGACTGTGTGCAGGCGATTAGTGGAGTCAACCCTCTGACTGTGTTCATGTATTATAACAGACATACAGATGGATTGGCACTTATAAGTATATTTATACTGAGCATATTTCACCCATGTGCACATTCACAAAGCGCTTTTTTTTACGTTTCGCTGTCTCTGAGCTGCCAGGCTCACTGAAATGCTGAAGCCTTGGTGATAACACGATAACAGCTGGAGGAGCCGGGAATCGAACCGCTGATGTTCCTGTTAGTAATGAGCTACAGCTGTGCAGCGTTACTGTCATGCAAACAGGTTTTAAGTCATACTTTACATTTAGAATAACTCTGGTTTGCAATTTTAAAAAGACAAATCAATAATATTATTATTTTTTAATATGCAACATCTTTCCAAATTCATGCAAGCCACTGGCTAACATTATCCAAGTGTAAAACAATCTTTTTTGCTGACATGTTGGCATGGGATGGGTGCTAACAACAGTCTCTCACTCTCTCCACGTTCCCTTTGTATAGTCACAACTGCCAGAGCAGTGTCAGCTAGGGATGCACCGATACCGATATCGATACCACATTTTCTAAAGTACTCGTACTCGTTAAAAGTCCCCCGATACCGAGGCACAGACGAACAAATTTAAAATTAAATTTTGTTTTTTTATAATTACTTATTCTGTAATATGTTGCATACAACATGCTTTTCATTTTAAATAAATGTTCTTAATTCCAAACTAGTCCCTTGTTTGTTTGTTTTTTGTTAAATTGTAGGACTAAAGCTGTTACCTGTAAATTTAAATCGCGTTTATATTAAGTACTCAATATCGGGCAGACCGTGTGGAGAGTGTGTTTGGTGGACCCAGGTGCGGACACAGACGCAGGAGGCAAAACTTGTGCTAAGCTCAAAGCGAACCTTTAATCAGGGCTGATACAGAAGGCAAAACAACAAACCATAAACTATGGGAATGACAAAAGTAAAAACCTAAACTGGGAGTAACTAAGGCTATGAACGAAGACCAGGACTGAACTATGACGAAGTACTGCGGACAGACTATGAACACGACATGAGAAACTGTGAACGAGATCTCGGTACTGGCACATGAAGGTGCAGGCAAACATGACTGGAGAAAGTGACTATGAACATGTCCAATACCGACTCTTGCAGACTAGAATCATGACGTGCAGCTAGAAATAACAGGGCGCATGAAACAGACGACGCGACACTGACACGAAGACACACTGGGCTAAAATACACCGAGGAAGTCATCAAGGAATTAGAACAGAAGGGGACACAGCGAGAAACACTGGACAAAGACAGGAAAC